ACTTTAAGGTAATCTAACACTACCTATATATTAGTAGGAACAAGCCCTAATACCTTAAAGGCCTTTTAGTAGTTAACCTTTATAAATATATTAAGGAATACATCCCTAAAGGCTAGTAGGAAGCCTTCCTTATTAATATAGAGGACGTGTTAGTGTGCTAAGTCTTAAACATGTTAGAAGTACCTATACTTTAATAGCAAGAAATAGACTATGTTAAGTAGCTAGAGGATATATAATAAGTAAGGTAGTATATAGAGAGTAAGGATTTTATTCTCTAGGCAATAGTCCTTAAACTCCTAGTTAAGATAGCTCTTATAGCTGTCTAAGATAAGCAACCTATACACCCCTACCTAACACGTCTTTGTATGCGCGTTAAAGTGCTTTAACTACTTAAGGCTAAGTATATTATTTATCTAACTATTCTTAGAGACTAAGAGCTTCTAATTATAGGGTATATCTATCTCCTTATACTAGGCAGAGATGTAGACGCGTCCTTTATAGATAATAAAAGGTAGAGTTGTATACCTAGTAGCGCAGATGCTCTAGATAATAGTAACCTACTCGCGATTGCCTAGCTAAACAAGCTCTAGCTGAGCACGTCTCTCTAAGCCTGTAACAACCTTTAAAGACAAAGCAACGCCTATCTAGAACCTAGTTTTATTAAAGTTATGCATGTTGTTGTTGCAAATGCTATACTTAAGTTTAGTATCCTCTACTAGCTTAAACTATATACTAATTGTCTTAGGATCTTCCTGTAGTATCCTCTGTCTATCCTTAGCTTAATTAAAGGCTATTTTAAGCTTATCTAAACGTGTTATAAGCCTACTAGCCTATATTTTACTAACAGGCTCTTCACTACGCACACTAAGTATCTTATTAGCGATATCTGCTACCTCATATAGCTAGGGCGCAAATCCTTGCAAATTAAGGTTAAGTATATACCTGACAATTATCTAATCCTCTAGTATAGTATGTAAAGAAAGTAGGGGAAGGACTAGACTACTTTCTTCCTAGTCTAGAAGGACCTAGACAAATCTAGACAAGCTTTGTCTACACAGGAAGCGTATAGCCTAATAGAGGTAAGGTAGGGTTATGTAATATAATAGACAAGTTATTATATTAGATACTAGGGAAAGATTCCTAGGCTAGGTATAGAGCAAATAGAGGGGGGAGAGCTAGAGGTATTTATACTTCCTCTCCTCTGTCTGTATTTCTAAGCAGAACGTTCTAGACTCCTCTAGGTACGTCTACTTAGTAATCTATACTTAGTTTTGCTGCATATATAAGCAAGATTACATAGGTGTATGCTTAATTATATACATCAGCATCTACAAAGTAGGCTACTCTATTTGTAAGTAGAGGGTCTGGAACATTTCTAGTTACTAAAAATAGAGAACAGCATATCTTAAGAACAAGAGGAGAAATAGGCTTCGTAAGCACACGATTCTAATCCTCTCTTCTTAGAGATTACAATAACAATGCTTAGGTAAGCATAGCGCTATACCTAAGAAGGAAATACGCTGGAGAAAGATTATAAGAACAAAGTCTTATAACTTTACAAACTTCGCACCTAGAGTTAGAATTATATAGCTTTAGCACAGACTTAAGAAGCACTATTAAATGTGTAGTAAAGTAAGTAAGGTAAGGCTACAAAAAGAGTACATAAATATAACATAAATAACTTAAAGAATTTACTTGCTATTGTTGTTAGTGTAAGGATAAATAAATTAAAAGGGGGTTTAGACCTATTGTTGCCACACGCGCACAGATCTACTAACTGAATTAAGGATCTATTCTAATCCTTGTAACAGATAGCAAGCTGATAATTAGATAGTAGTGGTGCACAGATCAGTTAATTCAAGTAAGGGTAACGTACTCCACAAGCGAGCCGGTCACCCAAGCGAGCCGGTCACTTTTGCCAAGACCACACCAACACTGTAACTACTTTGCAACATTACAGCACACAACAACTATATATCACACTGCGTAGTATATTAGACTAGTCTATAGTACTCTCCGCATCTTTACTACATGTCCGCGCGTTGTGCCCTGTCTTGCCACATGTGCCACAGCGTCTCAAAGACTAAGTGCTCCCATTAGCTTGCGCTCTCTTCTTTGCCTTCTTCCTATCACTACAGGCCTCAAACTCCTTTAGAGTAGTTAGCTGCACTCCCTTACTAAACATTAGTGTCCCTTCACACTAAATTTGCTTTCTTTTGTGTAATTTACAATGTGTAGCAGCCTTGTTAGCTAACTATAGGTCAGTGACCTAGTTGCGCACTAAAACTAGTAGATGCGCCATTAGCTCTGCGCCTTTAGTAAGCTAATTAAGAGCGTTAACTATTAATATTAGTAAGCTATTAGTGTGTCTCTAGATCCTCTCTTAAATTAGCTTTAATTAAAACCTAAACTCTAGGGTGTTGCTTAGTGTTTTAGACTCCTAGGTACTCTCATCTACAGGGGGTAGTGGTGGAGTACACAACCGTACATTAAGCTTTAATATCACAGCCTCTAGGTGAAGTGGGACTAGGCCAGCGCCTCTGAACCCTCCCTAGATGTTGCTCTTTGTAATTAAGGCGTCAAAAGCTGCTTTGAAGCATGGCAAGAACTCAAGTTTGGTGATGCGCGTAATCTTGCTGCGCATTAGCCTGTCAGCTTGGCGGCCATAGGCCTTCTTTAACAGGGAGAAACATCCCACATTAAGCGGCTGCAGCAAGTGCGACGAGTGTGGAGGCATGCACAGAGTGATAATCTTGTGCTCCTCACAGTACTAGTGGAATTCAACTGAGTTGTGGCTCTCGTGGCCGTCTAGGACGAGCTGTAACGGTCTAGACTCTAAAGCTAAAGAAGAGCTAGAGCTAGCCGGTTACATTAGCTTAGCCGGCTTGGCTAAAGCTGGATATATATTATCTACGCAGTTAACTAGACGTCTAGTTAACTTGTGCATGCTTTTTAGCAAAAGTTGTTAGGAAGTAGATATCCTTTATTGGCCTTTGGCCAGACTACTACAGCTTTTGCCTGCCCTAGTTAGCATTACTGCCATGACATAACTCTTGCTGGACGCGATGGCGTTGATGGCCTCTTTCTGCACGCCTTAAAACTTGGCTGTCTTGCCCATCATCTACTGCAATTGCGCGGCTGCGTCCATCTTCCTTAATCAGCCCGATTAACTAATCCTTGCCTCATCTGCTTCGCTCTTAAACAGGGCGTGGTTGCGCTTCTTGCACTTATTATTGTTGTCTACGCCTGCTAAGAACTCCAAAAACTAGTGCTAATCTGTGCTTAACATACAGAACTACTGTCTCTTGTCTGCTACTGCCCCTGCCTATTCTTTAATCCCTTGTGCGTATATTATCCCCACAATGTGCACTGTGTGCCCTACCTGCTTGTCTGTAATAGCTGACTATATGTTCTACTTGTTCTACTCCTTGTTCTTGTCTCCCTCGTCTGCTTAAAACGTGGTGGACCTGCGCAAAAACTGCTAGCTAATGCTAATAGCAATCTTGTGATACGCTAGAATTATTAAATCTAACCCTAATCTGATCCTGCTCTTGCGCTTCAACACCTCTTAGAGCCAGTTGCTTGTCTACTTGCAGCTGCTTAGATCTGCTAGCTATATGTGCAATAATATCACCTCCTTCTCCCACACCATCGCCTCTAACTGCTGCTGGAACGGTAACACTAACCACATGTAATTGTCAAGCCTCAGCTCCGGCCACTGAGACAAGCAAACCAAAAGGTAACATGGCTCATACTGATGGTGAGCCTGCGCCGGAACAGTACTGATATTGTTACAAGACACAGGTCAGAGGTAGCTTTGCTACATGCCTTGTCATGGGTCAGAAGTGGCTTCGCCACATGCCCGGCCTGACAGTAATACACCAACAGCTTACCCACCTCACGCGGCAAATACTAGTGGATAATCTTAATATTGCTGCTCGCGCTGTATCCCTTGTAGTACTGCGTCACAAACACAAGTTACTACCGTACTGTAGATCCCAGCCTATTCCTTTCCGCTTTCCGCTCTGCGGCAGTTTGCGGAGTATGGCAGGCTCAGACGCATCCTCAGCTGTTTAACGCATCTAGAGGTCCTAAGCGGTGCTCCCGGCTTCGGGTTGACAATCGAGCTTCAGCTGCCGCTGCCGATGTACAAAGCAGCGTCGGGAGCATTTCCCTCCCGGTGTCTTTCGCACAACACACTTGCTCAAACAGAAGGTACTGTAAGCCTTCGCAGATTGATATCTCGATTCGTGAGTGATTTGACCCAGTTTGCGTTGGGCCTGCTCACATGGTTCATGGAAGACGATTTGTGAAGACAGGGCAGAAACACGAACAAGTCTGTGTCCAGCGTCACAACATTGACAAGACTATCGAAAATCGGAACGACACTTACACCATCGCCAGCATCAAATAAGGATGCAAACTTTTGTTGTTCGAGTCACGGCATTGCACGGTGTTGAACAGTAACTGTTCAAGTTTGCCCAGCTGTGGGGCGGTCAACAGTAAAAACTGAGGTTGTTCAGGTTGAGGCTCGGACAAATACATTCGTTTCTGATCATAGCCAGGCCTTAGCAATTCAGAAGTCCTCCGCTCGAATAGGCTGTCCATCCAACCACTTCTTGCATTGAAGGTAAAGCTTGTCGTGCGCTTCACGCGAAGGGGTACCAGCGTCCTCACGTCGATGACCTGGCATGCCATGAAGAACCTTGATACCCTCCATTGTCTCTTCCTGGCCATAAGCAAGCATCTTGTAGCCGGGAGAGTAGCTTGCAAGCCTTGCCTCATCCAAATGCGGGACTCTGTTTGGATTTACCGGGATCATCTTGTCCTTCTCATACCAGTGCCTCACGAGCCTGGCTTTCCACTCTCCAGCGTTATCGCGCTCCCACAAATAACAGAACCGACAGTCGCACTCCACGTCGACTTCGCATCCGTCGATGACAAATCGCTGAGTTATAGTGGACTTCAGCTTCGTGACAGCACGAGTACCGTCTGGTCGAATATCGGTGCTGGCTCCCACGCACCTGTGCATGATAAAGGCGCCTTTGTCCATGCCAACCTTGGATATCTCGAAAAACTTCTTGTAATGAACGCGACCACTCCATGTGGTATAAATCTGAGCGTCTTCGTGGAATATGGATTCGAAATTGTCCCATTCGCATGCATCGCGGTACATAGGCCAACCCTCAGCCAGTTCGCGTAGCTTCCAGCGCTGCAGCGCCAGATCGTTGGATCCATTATTTCGGATGGCTTCGACAGGCCGAGAGCCTTCTGGTAAGGTGTGACGATTGACTGAAGACATGTTCCTTGGCTTATGTTGTTGTTCTTGCTTGGTCAGTTGGTGCAGGTAGTCCTTGAATTTACCACAGGAGGCGGACGGCGTCTCAAGATATCAATTCCATACATGGTCTCGTCGGAGATGTTTACGTTTTGCTGCTGCCGCGTTGTCCGTCCCGTAGAACTACGGTAAAGTATCTTAACCGCATGGGGAGATCTTGCACGGGTAGACGCCGCTTTCTTTCGGGATAGATCTTGCCGGCCGGCTCATGATCGGGATCGGGTCGGCTATCGGCCCGATCATCTCATGCTCTTCCATGACTGAAGTAACCACTAAATATACGACCAAATTGGACTTAGCTACAATGTATTCCGATGTGCCTGATAAATCTCAGCGTTGTCCAACCTGCAGCTCGTCGTTGCCTCAATATTGGAAGCGTGGATCAGTTACAAGATGTCTAGCACCTACTACATAGTCGGTTTTGCTCTCGCCTTATTTTTTATTTGTTACGTTGCACAGAGACCAGGCAAAAGCCTTCACCGGTATCCTGGACCGTTTCTTGCATCTATAACCAATGTTTGGCGTGCATTGGATGTCTATGGGCGGAACACGCACATCACCTACCGCAAGTTGCATGCCAGGTATGGTGACGTTGTCCGAGTGGCGCCTAACGTTTTATCATTTGGCAACCCGTCTGCAATCCAAGACATATACGGACTGCAGAAAGGTTTCACCAAGGTAAGTCTGGTGAGAACCTATATCCGAGATCAATACACTGACTTGCATCAGAGCGGGTACTACGATGTTTTTGCGACTTTGAACAGAGGCAACATCATCTATAATTTGTGAGCCTACTTCAGATCTACTTTTCAGAAGCTGCAGCTGCTGACACAATCTTTGCTTAGATTTTCAACAAGATCAGAGGCATACCATGCCCGCCTGCGACGCTCTGTCAATCATGCGTTCGCACTGTCGACACTGTTGGACTTCGAACCACTTGTGGACAGCTGTACATCCTACTGGCTCCAGCGTACCGAGGAAATCTACGTCAAGGAACAGAGACTTTGTCCATTGTCTACGTGGGTTCAATATTTCGCGTTCGATGTGATTGGGGAACTCACTTGGTCTAAACGACTTGGCTTCGTTGAGGAAAATAGGGATGTTGCAGATATTATCGGTACCGTCGATTCGTTCCAAAACTACGGTACTATAGTAGGCCAAAATCCCTGGTGGGACACCTTGCTCGTCAAAAACCCAATCAAACGATTCCTCGAGTCCAAGAACCTTTGGCCGGCAAGCCCAAACGCAGCCATCATCCAATTTGCTTTAGCACGGAAACAGGAAGCATCTGCGAGCCTACGCTCAGGTGGTAGCTTGCACACCCCAGGCCCAAAAGGCATCAACTTCCTGCAGCGTTTCTTACAATCTCAAGACAGAAATCCCGATTTTCTCACCGATGATCGAATCACCGCCATGTGCGCCTCTCTGATCATTGCCGGCTCCGACAGCACAGCTATTAGCCTTTCTGGAGTCTTCTACTATCTTTTAAAGAATCCACGTGTATACAGCAAGTTAATGGCTGAGATTGATGCAGCGAGTGCTGCGGGAGCTCTTGCACCATCACCAAACAGCACTGGTGCTGATGATGTTGTTTCATTTCCTGCGGCCAACAAGTTAAAGTATCTCGATGCAGTCATCACCGAGTCGTTTCGGATGCATCCGGCGGCAGGCCTACTTTTAGAACGCGTTACCCCGCCACAGGGTGCCACCATAGAAGGCCATTTTGTACCTGGGGGGGTTGTAGTTGGCTGTAACGCGTGGGTTTTGCACCAGAACAAGGAAGTCTTTGGTGAAGACGCCGATGTATTCCGGCCGGAGCGATGGCTTGAGGGAGAAGGTGTTGATCCTTTGAAAATTGGGAAAATGAGGTCTAGTATGTTTCAATTTGGTGCAGGGTCGAGAACATGCATTGGAAAGAACATCAGTTTGATGGAAACATACAAGATGGTGCCCAGTTTTTTGAGAAAGTTTGAGGTAAGAAGCCTCTGGACATGATTGGCTAAATATTACTGACACGCTATGTGATAGATCGAGCTGGATGAGAGCAATGGGTCTTCGTATTTGAAGAATGCCTTCTTCGTTCATCGCAAGAATTTCAATGTCCGCATCAAACTCAGAAAAACTGAGTCCGTTCGGTCCTTGGGATAAGTCACGATGTAGGGATCCCGAAAATGATCTTGGCTGGGACAGTGTGGCCATGAAACGTGTGTTTGATTCTAGAAAGTAGTTCGGGCAGTGGACTTCACTTAAGTGTTTGCGTTCATAATCGCGACTTACCTGAAGACCCTTGTAATGAGTTCTACGGAGGACCCTCCAATGCCGGTCATCTAGTGGCATCTGTTGCGGCAGACACAGCCGCTGTAAAGTCGATGGGAAACTGCGCTGAGTTGCTTGCTAGTTTGGAGGCGACCATATACGTATGTGTCCTGAGATGTGTCAGTCCGAGGTAGTCAACAGAGGTGACGATCAAGGCTATAGGACCGACTTGCACCGCAACAGCATCCACCGTGCTTGCCCTCATTCTGGGTGACTCTATGTCAGTGGCCATGCTGCGACTCTGCTGTTTTCGACTAGTGTTTCTGCTTACGATCCTCTTCACGACCAGTTCAACTACTGATCTGCTTTTGCCAGATCTAACGGCTCACTCATGGCCGCTACCATCCTCGTCGGCCTAGCCGAAGGTGGTGGCAAAGCTCCCATAACCACAGTTGTTGCGGGTTCACTTCATGGTCAACAAAGCGGTTCAATGATGGTTTCTCACATCTTCTCTGTTGCGGCTTATTCATCGGGCCAGCGATCGATGCAGTTACCGCGAGATTTGTTAAGTGGCACTAGTTTTGCGGCTGGATCGCAATTGTGGCAATCAGCGACTTCGTTATCGGCTTGTTTGCAGTCCAAAAGATCGCCTACATGAAAGCGTCCCATAGTGATTACAGGACGGGGTCGAGCACCAAACGCATGCTCGACGAAACTTTCTACAGCGGCTATAAATAACCTCCGGCCATAATAAGAACCTGGAACTTTGGACCGTTCTCTGGGATACCAAATCAATGGGCACTTATCCTGGCGTGCTATGGGCTGGTTTGATGATCGGCACTTTGTTGGAATGGTGGGTTTCGGTACATCCCGTGACTGTGTGCTGAGCAACGAGCACGAACCTCGTTGTTCAAGTTACAGTAGCCATAATCCTCGTTCAGACTCTGTACGGCTTCAAGTTGTGGGAAGTTGGTGTCTTTGATTTTGCTGGACCGATAGGTGCTCATCTGGCCGTGTTCTTCGACGGCCGTCTCACCGACACCATAAGCAACCGCTGGGTCGCACGCAACGACGCTCTCTGCCTTCCTAAGTATCACCTCTCTCCCTTGCTAATTTAATCCTCAATCAGACCGTTGGGCATCGTCGCTGCTAGCAGGTGAAGTCTCGGTCGCTGTGACCCTTGTACGCGATGTAACCAGTTGCGTGTTATCTTTTCACGCATAGGACTGTATACTTTCGGAAGGACTTGCAGAAGCATTCGACCAGATGGCCGCAATGCAGTGTTTTGTTTTACCCTTTTTGCGATTGAATTGTATGAATGCGGCGAAATTTTTACGACAAGGGCGTCGAAACGCAGGCCCTCCAGACATTTTTCGGCTTATCGGGTGGCGACCTAGACTGAAGTCTAGCTTCTTGTTCGGATTGTTCGGGGCCGGATTTGGACTTTCTCGAAGTCGTCAATGGGGGTTCAGCAATACAGACCGTCACCGAGTAGAAGATCAAGATCTGACTGTCCGAGGAGGTCGTTGGTCGTGCTCAAATCGTACTGCGTGAAGTCGAAATCAAAGGGTCGAGCGATGTCGGAGACAACAGTGCTCGGTGTATTGCGCTCCCTCACACTTGCTATAGCTGGAGTCAAATCGTGTCGATGAGAATAAGATCTACATAACTTACAAACTGAATCCAGCTTTTGAGTAAATCTGTGAATGGCTTCACGAGCTCGCCGAAACAGCACGCTCGTCCGTTGCAACAGTCTCATGTTATCGAGACATTCCCCTAGAACCTGCCTGATCTTGACTGCTGGAATACCAATCAAGACTTCCAAATTGGGATGCACTTGATAGAGCAGTGCAAGACAGAAAAGATGCATGGCTACTGACGAACCTACTTCCCATTAGTATTGCTGTTCTTGACTTCGAAGTGGTTTTCGTACTGGCGTGATTGCAAAGCCACCACATGTTGTTCTGGTTTAAGAAATCTTCTGATTGCGAGAGAACAGAGAGTATCTGGTGCATGTTCTCGAGCGCAACGAAGTCGCTTCTGAGAGTCGGTAAGCAGTGCTCAACAAAAGGCACGGCTTCTGCATTCGTGTGTGAAGAGCCAATGGCAATGTCGAGCACTTGTGTGAGAACCGGTCCATTAAGCAAGATGAGGGCTCGGTAGTAGTGCATTGTTAGAGAAAGCCTGAATCGATCCTCGACCCTTTGAGAGGAAAGAATCGTGCTGACTTCTTGTGGTGTTATTAGCTCGAGACCCGGATCGAGCTTGCGATTCCACTCCTCGAATAGGTGGAACAATTTCAATCTCGTTGCTAGCAAAGTCCATGTGCTCAACGACTCTTCCCTTTCGATGTTATGCTGATACATATCACTCAGGACGGATGCAACGATGCAATACAAATCACTACGCGAACCATTAGTCGTACATTCTTTGGAGTCATTCTGAAGCCTTACGTTTGATACTTGTGATGCAGAAGACTCTCAGTCTGGTAGTCGTGCCCGATCGATGAAATACGGCATGTGCTGTTTGGGTCTTCTAGGCGAGGCGTACATATGTAGTGTGATGGGATAAGGCACGGCCTGCCTAAACACATGCAAAGCATTCTGATTGCGTCAGCTTTTAGCTCAGGATCGGGCACGTGAAAGGTACCTATCCTGGTTGATTAAGCAATACCACAGTCTCTTACTGAGTTCAGCGTCTGACGGCGAGATCTCTTTATAGCTGGATGGGCAGTGCAAGCCGAGCTGGAAGGCAGCTTTCACTGCCAAAGCATGGTATGTCCAGCTTTTAACTGACATTTGCTGTTGCTGCTGATAGCTCGTCACAAGTAATAACGCCTGTACTACAAAAGCATGTAAGTAAGGGCAAGATTTGAGCCAGCAGTAACTTACTGAGTCTTATGTTGGCACCCCTGAGGGTCTCAGAGATCACGCAATGCAAGCTTCGGCGGAAAAAAATGTCGCTTCGAATGTCTCCAACCACCATACACGAGTGCGCGAATGCGATATTGACAAGCGCTCGTTTCGTCCATGATCCCGGCTCACAGGACCCAGAGGTCAGTTCTCTCAGAGACGTGATCAAGGTCGCTTTGGCGATGAACGGCAATATAGGTGCTGTAGTCGCAAAGAAGCGATCGAGCATCAAAAGCGACTCTGACATGGCCGGCAACGTCGCAAGGAAGGGATTCTCGAGACTGGCCATGTGAGATGCAGTTGATGCTTTAGCCTCATTCCCGTCATCTGTCAACATTGCCGTCGTCAACAATTGGCTCTGATCATGCTGGAGCGGTGCGCTGCGCAAGAAATGAAAGAAACAGCGCGAGACTGAGCGGAAAAATGCATGATTTGAAGATGGCCCTGGGCTTGCTGTTAACGAGCCCCGTGATGACAATCGTGTACTGACCGAAATACCCGAAGTCAGAGGCGTGCTGATCCTGGAAAATCCTTGCTGCATGAGTGTCTTCATTGGCTTCCGGATCAAAGTCGTTACCAACTATATCAGGATCAACTGTGTCAGTATCCTGCGATCTAGCGCCATCGTTCAGTAGATGATCGCAACGGGAATCGTGGATAACAGTAGGCGAGATATCAACGGGGCGAGACTCGGCTACAAATTCTTTTGCCGCATGTAGTTCATGCTCCAATTCTCTGACTTTGTGTGCCAGTTGAGCCCGACTGCTTCTTGATCAGCAGTGTCCATCATCCAAAGAGTTGACGCGAACCTAGTAGATCTCCTGACATCAGGCTCATGAGATGGTTTTGCATACACACACTTAATTCTGAGGTGTCGGCACGTCGAGCAGGCGGGTTGGTTTCCATTGCACTTGCGATTACACAAGTCAATGACGGGGTTTGAATGAGACAGATAAGGACAGCGGGCTGTGCTGGGGAACCAGACCTACCTTAGTCTTTCGAGATCTGCAACTCTGGCACGCAAGCGATATGCGACTTCGACGAGTTGGAACAGATACCTCAGATGCGGAGGCCTCGGCATGCGAATCGACGTTACCGGTAGTGGCCTCGCTGGCATCGGTGGTCATCTTTTCAATCTCCTTCACAGTGTCTCATCATTCGGCAGAGCCGGAAGCGTGCAAAAGTGTGATTCGGGAGGACAAAGAAAAATGGCGAGGAGTCGGAACGGTTGTCGCCGAAGTTGCCGGAGCTACTACCTACGGTACCTACCGGTACCTGCAACCTGCCGAGGTAGATTCCACCCCGCACTATCAATTAGCCAGGACTGTCCTCCTCGCCACAACCAGTTTCCATCATTGACGATTACAAGAGCCTTAATGCACATGTTTGTATGCACTGTGGCAGTGTAATAAGAAGAATGGCAAGGTCATAGGAGTTCATCGTCAACTCTGTCAGCTACCATAAAGTTCGAGTGGATAATGCCAGACCAAACCATCTCCGACCGACGAGCTTCCGGCTTAAACAATCAACCAGGATTTAATGGGAAGGATCTTCACAGAGACGTGACGATTGGCCTGTTACGTAGTTAACCAAATATCAAATCGCACGAGCACCTTCGCACAAGACAGTGCCTCTTAATCGCATTTGATTGGTTGATGGACTGCGACTTAGAATGGCCTCTGGAAAATCCCTTTACAAGTGCAAGAAAGCCTGCTGAAGGAAGAGAGTTAAGTCCTTCTGGCTTTCTGCATAGCAGACCCTTTCGCAAAGCACAGCTATAGAGCTGCTTTCTAATTACTCTCAAAGGAAGCGAAAGTTTATATACATACGCAAACGTATTAGACTTAGGAGCAATTGTAGGTACCTGCATTCTTTTCCATTAGTTACTTTTATATTACAAGCAAGAAACGACTATGGAAATGTTGCCTAGTGCAGAGCTCTTCGCCTGCGCACAAGGGATTATAAGCGACAATGCCTACATCGCCACCATGCCCTGCACGGTGCTAGTAGCAAACGCTGACATATCAAAACGCTGAATTTCCTTCGCCATTCCCTGGCCACCTGAAACATCCATAACAAGTATAGCCGGGCCCACTGTTGCATTACCTGGTACCATTGCATACAAGAAGTTACCTGCGCTTGCGATGTCGATCATTCCAGGAACCTGATTCGGCGAAAGATCGTGTTCTTTGATAATACTGGCGTCCTTGACACTCATCTCTACGATGCGGTCAGTACCAACGTCTGTCACGAACGCGGACCCTGTGGCGCGCGAAATGGTCGACCAGCAGGTCGCCTTCTGGCCGGTGATCTTTCCCGCACCCGCGACGGTGGCCTGGCCTTTCGTATCGAAGCCAATGACTGCAGCACCGAAGGAAGCATCGGTTGTGAATAGCGAGTGGCTGCCAGGTATCCGGGTTGTGCCGAACAATACAGCTGTTCCGTTTGGTGACATGCGGTTGTCTTTCGTACCGAGTGTTGCCGGACCCTGGCCTTTACGTTGGACGTCGAACGTAGACATAAACCCGGTGTTGTTGACCGTTGGGTCGCCCTTTACCATTGTAAAAAGCTTCGTACCGTCGGCTGAGAACAAAGCCTGTGAGACAGTGTTGAGAGGACCCTTCGGTGGCGTGGTTTGCCCGATCTCGAACAGGCGGAGATTGTCCATGGGTCCGATTCCTTGATGGGAGAACGACGCGCAGGATACGCCAGCCTTGGAACCGGACATGGCAACGCATACCATTTGGTTTTCTGCAGATGCAGCGACAGTGTTGGGAAATTCTCCTGGGAGAGCCACAGGTTCACCGACCATGTTCAGGCAGGTCGGGTTATCAGGACTGATAGCAAGCATGGAGACAGTGTTCGAGCCCGAATTGACAGCGAAGATGTACTGTAATCTCATTAGGACAAGCAGACGTGTACATATGCCTCCACTTACGTTACCAACACGTGTCAATGCCGACTGACTAGACAGACCATCACGAAGCGTAGGCTTTCCAGAAGCTGCTTCGATCATGACTGCTCCAGCACCGCCAGTCTTGACGGAGCTGCCCGCTGCAAGGCTACCATTACGTTGAATTGGGAGTGCTACGACAGCATTTTGCGCTTCGTTTGTGATGAAATACACAGCTTTTCCCGTTGCGTGTTGCTGGTGCTTATTGATGTCCTTCGGGAGCGACGGCGCTGCCTCTCCGAGGGGCACCAAAGCAGCTAGCAAGAGGGCGAGTCTAGTAAATGTTGAAGTCATGATAAGCGTAGTTCTTGATCGGAAAATTGTATAATGCGATGATTCCAGAGAACGCTGCTCGTAGAGAAGGAAGTGAGTAGTCGATTGTCCTTCACTCTTGTGGATATTGTTCTGAAGTACTTATACATGTAGTCTCATCGCATCTCCTCAAGTGTTGTACGGTACGCCTACGTGATTACTCGATCGTGACGTCCAGAAAGGGTAATGTGGGACATACGTGATGCCTCAGATCACGCCTGAGGCCATTCTATGAAACCCGCATTAACCGCTGAAGTCAATACTGAGACAATATGGCTGAGTGCATTGATACGAAGAAAATCAGACTTGCCAACCAGGGAGGAAATTGATTCCAAAGCGCTTTGCCTAATTTGGTTGCAATGGACCGTGCACTGCACGCTAGGGTCGAGCTATGACTGCGATCTTTCGGATCTCTGAGTCAGTCACCGAGGCCGAACTAGGAACGTCTCTACTTGCAGTAATTGTTGCCATCATCAGGATCAGACGCTTCCACTACTCGCAACGCACATTGTTTTGGCCAGCCAGACTCTTCGAATACCCTTCGACATCCGAATTGCGCAGCGTGATTGTGCTGCACTTGTAGCTCGATCACTCTATTATTGTACTGGGGTACGCGAAATTCTTGGGCACTCAAGTGAAATCTCAGACGCTGAAACAGCCTTTCAATTTACTTGTGAGGTGTGCCTGATGGTCAAGTTCACCTTTAGGCCGTTCAAAAGCCAGAAAGGGTCTCCTGCAGGTATGTGGTCCTTGACTCCACTGCGACAACCTGCACAAACATGAACACAATATGAAGGGCGTCGACCAACAAGCGTGCTCTCACAAAATCGATGGCTAAGACCCAACCTGCTCTCCACCTACGAGAACATTCTTGGTACCATTCTCAGGAAGCATATGGCCTTGAGGATACGCATATACCGTAAGGCTAATCATTCCATGAATGCAGATCAGCCAACTACTGAGCAACCCCAAAATCCCCATCAGAGGCGCCGAGAGCAAGTTCGTCGTGCCCAGAAGTATGTTATGCCCATCTCAACACCCATGGAATACCCCTGACACTTTGACTAAGAACACATCGCGAGCGCAAAGAGTCATACATAAAGTCACTCGAAACCGAGGTCATACAGCTGCGCGCCAACGAGACGCAGTCATACCACAAGATAAAGGCCCTGTATGCTGAAGTCAATGCAATGAAGAATTTACTTGTGGAGAACGGCATTCGCATCCCGTCTGCGCTGCCGTCACCGTTAGTACCACAGATCTACAGTCCAGACGACGTGGAAGTGGCGCCAGCACTTGAGTTCTTCGAATTCAACATCCCAGGTAAATCACCCAAACAGCAGGGTGAACGCATAAGCGTCAAGACATCAGCTCGACAAGGCGGCAACAGAGAGGCAGCGAGGACCCACAACGCTGCGCCTACGACGTTCGACCTATTCACCCCTCCTACTGAGACTGATTTCAGTCAGCAAGACCCCACAGCCATCGGGATAGAATTTATCCTCAGGTAAGCCCTCTTCTACTAACGCCATCTTCGCTCCACTGACTCTGGCTCAAGTCTAGAGGCCCCGTGTCTAGGACATATACCAGGGACGCTAGATAACGAGGAACCATCCGGTCACGCGCTTCTGACCAGTGCAACCCTGCTCCACCACCAGCAGTCCTATCCCGTCGGGCATGGCCACCTCGCAAACCCCACCTGGACGGTCCCCAAATTGGGCGTTGAGCGTCTCCTCGAACTGTCGACGAGCATCCCGCTTGACGGCGAGGTCACACCCGTGCAAGCATGGGACTATATACGACAGCATCCGCAGTATCATAGCCTTGATTGTGCTAGATTGGAGTCACTGAAGGCGACGTTGTTGTTGCATGTTAAGTGCTATGGGTAAGATCCTATGAATGCGCGGAGAAGGACTGTGGCTGACGAGGAGCAGATTCGGGGCCGTTATTGCTCAGGATGTGTTTGAGAATGCGGTCTTTGACATGTTCATCGAAGGCGGCTTCTTCTGATTGGGAAGGCTTCACACGGAAATCTGAGTGCAGTAGACGCTCGCAGAGGGCAAGTAGAGTGCTGGCTCGACCGGGCGGTTCGCATCCCTGCTCCATGGAAAACTGCAGTCCTGGTGTTGTTCCCATTCTCCCCGTTGCAGTAGCGAAATAGAAGGTCGAGAAGGGTTAGCGCTGGAGCGAAAGCGGCGACGACGGCGAGCGCGCGCGTTCTGGCATGAGTATTTGAAGCAGCTTAGGACGGCTGACAAAGGCCTGGTTCATGGAGGTCTGTCATGATATTCATCGATACCAGAGGCGTCAAATATAGATGCGGAGAGTGCATCACAGCTGCTCGGATTCGTTAACGCGTTCTGCATGGTTTACGACCCCGAATTTCCCGGTCTCCAATAGAACCGCATCGCCTGCACTGACATTACAACCCTTCTCCGCGCTTGGATGCATCGAATCCCAGCTTGATAGCCGGACCTGCATGCGCGCCCCGTTCAGTAGGCTGTTCACGACGGTGGTGTAGCACTGGATGTGGCAAGAATCTGCATACGGCGTTTCTGCAACAGGAGCTGTAACGGTTGTGAGGAGAAGCAGATTACGTGTTGTTGGCGGTGGTCTGGCGCTGCTTCCTTGTCGTATTAAGCACCTATCACCTCAGCTGCATCACAAACATGTGATGAAAACAGACCCCGCAGCCAGCCCTTCGAGAGGCGGGCACAAGCAGAACAACAGAACAAAACAACAGAATACACTCGTTTTGATTTGCACTTGATACCGCAACAGGAGCGGTCGCGTCGGCCTGCAGTGCGACTACCAACACTCGTCACTCGTCTAACTACAACAGAGCCCTCTGTAAGGATCCTGAGGTGATCTAGGGCTGGTTCTGCCTAGTAGAGAATACTAAAGCCAAGTATAGTATCCTAGATAAAGACACGTACAACTTTAATAAGTCTAGGTTTATAATAGGCGTTATATCAACTAGAGCTGTTGTCACATGTAAGGAGCTGGCCTCTGCGGGCTATTTGCAAGTATGAATCAAATGGATTTGTTGAGGGGTGGCTGCAGGCGGAGGTCTGCAGACTTTTATGTCC